AACTGGCCCCATTATGTGTATGTATGAATTTGAGGTAGGGACCTTAGCCTGTAAACTCCTTGAAGGTTAGGGACTGATGTGCAGTATACTGTATATGTAAAGCTCTGCATAAATTGATGGTGTTATATAAGTACCTATAATAAATAAATAAAACATATTAGAGCTTTAAAAAAGCAGTCCATTTGCCAAAATCTCTTTAGGGCTTCCTTGCCCCCCCCCCCCCCTTTTTTTAAAAAAAAAAAAATAAAGTTCATTCAACATAAAACGTTAACCATACATGGGGTTTTTAGCATCTCTTTGCCACAAAACAAATTCTACTTTCAACCTTCTGGTTTCCTCTTGTAGCACCACTGCCCCAGCCCCAGGCTTAGGCCCTTGTCTGTTCTTCATCCAGACAATGCTCTTAGAGCTCCCAGCTGCACTGGGTCACCCTCTCCTGGGTGAAGCTTTCCTGTCATGTGTGTGGAGCCCTCCGTTGTCTTCCAGGTGGAATCCTGAACTGTAGTCAGTGCCCATACCATCAACCCTGTGCATACCTGAACACCCAGGGGCCTAGGGCTGAAGGCTTTATTCCACCCAAGACTCTACAAAGCCTCTGGCTCCATGACCCATACCAGGGTAGAGAAAATTACAAATCCTGTTCTCTCTTTCTCTCTCTATAGTACAACCTTCCTGGATCCCTAAACCCTGTATAGGAGAGAGCCCTGGGTGATGTCCAGTCTCATCTCTGGCACTTATACTGTATATATATATATATATATATATATATATATATATATATGTACAAATTAAACAGAAAAAATTGCATAACATTTGTTTATGAATTGCTGCATATACTTTTTCCTATTTATTACCTGCAGCAAGTTGGTTCATTCAAAGTCATACTTTACCATATTGGCTGAGTCCTCTGCTGCTATGCTGTGAGTTGCCTGCATAGCATGTGTAATTGTATCTCTTGCTGTTTAAGTCTATTGATAACACATATTGTTGCTTCAATAGTGAGACACCCTTAGCTGCTCATATTTCAAGTCACCCTAGGGCCTTGCTCAGCTATTTTTCATACTGTAGATCTACAAAACAATAGCTGTTTGATTAAAGACAAAAGACTTTTTGCTATCTTTAACTATTATTAATCTCTTACCATGGAAACATTCACAGTCTTCCTAGATGTCAGAGACAATGTTATATTTTGCAGATGATTGTACTTACTATGTAAAGGCATACTAAGCAATTTTGTGGATATAATCTCCTAGTTTTGTCTTCTAATCACTGTGCTTTAAGAGCTGTTTTTACAGCCCTACACCAGTGTAAACACTGCTTTGTTTACATTGAGTTTGAATGAATTTTCACTGATTTGATCTATTCACTGTGAGGAGCCTTGACCACTTCAACTCTGGAAGATTTAACCCCCTTCCTGACCAAGCAGTTGTTTCGATACAGCGCTGTGTTACTTTAAATGAAATTGTGCAGTCATGAAACTGAAAATTATGGGGGTTTTTTTCTGCAAATAGTGCTTTCTTTTGGTGGTATTTGATCACCTCTGCGGTTTTTACTTTTTGCGTTCTAAACAAAAACAAGACTGACAATTTAGAATTTTTTTTTTCCTACTATAAAACATATCCAATTAAAAAAAAAAAAAATACAATCTATGTTCTTCATAACTTTAGGCCAAAATGTATTCTGCTATATATTAATTTTTTATACTAGTAATGGTGGTGACCAGCGACTTAAAGCAGGACTGCGATATTGCGGTGGATATTTTTACACTTTGTGGGAATCAGTGACACTAATACAGTGATCAGAACTAAAATTATACACTCATTGCTGTGCGAATGACACTGGTTGGGAAGGGGTTAACATCTAGGGGGATCAAAGGGTTAAGTGTATGCCTAGCTATGTGCTTGGTGTACACTAGGTGGTGCTGGTCCAAGAGGAAGTGATGGATCATGTTCCCAGCTCTGTAAACATAGGCACAGCTCTGTTCTTCCTCCCTGGCTGACAATTTGTGGATACCAGCAAAGATCCATTCGCTGGGATTCGCAGATTGGCTTCTGCTGTGACAGTTCACAGCAGTAGCAATTTGCCGGCGGCACGCATTCCACAGTGAGGCGGAAATGCAGAATCACTGGTTGGTAATTACCGTATTTTCCGGCGTATAAGACGACTGGGCGTATAAGACAACCCCCCTACTTTTCCTGTTAAAATGTAGTGTTTGGGCTATACTCGCCGTATAAGTCTACCCCTCTTCCAATGCACACCAGTGGGAAGAATCGTGCCCCATCATTAGTATCAGTGGGAGGAATAGTGCCCAGTCATTGGTGTCAGTGGCAGGAATAGCACCCCATCATTGGTGTCAGTGGGAGGAATAGCACCCCATCATTGGTGTCAGTGGGAGGAATAGCGTCCCATCATTGGTGTCAGTGGGAGGAATAGCACCCCATCATTGGTGTCAGTGGGAGGAATAGCACCCCATCATTGGTGTCAGTGGGAGGAATAGCACCACATCATTGGTGTCAGTGGGAGGAATAGCACCCCATCATTGGCGTCAGTGGGAGGAATAGTGCCCCATCATTGGTGTCAGTGTGAGGAATCGTGCCTCATCATTGGTGTCAGTGGGAGGAATAGTGTCCCATCAGTGGTGTCAGTGGGGGGTGGAATAGTGCCCCATCATTGGTGTCAGTGGGGGGGGAATAGTGACCCATCGTTGGTGTCAGTGGGGGGGGAGGAAAAGTGCCACATCGTCGGTGTCAGTGGGAGGAATAATGCCCCATCATTGGTATCAGTGACACCAATGATGGGGCACTATTCCTCCCACTGACACTTGCTGACCCCTGTTCAGTTGCTGCAGCAAGCATATACGGTTGCAGCAGCACCTGTGCACGGCACACTTACCTTCACTTGATTTTTGCGGGGCCGCTCGGCTCCGCCTCCTCCCCGGTGATTGGCCGCCTGTGTGCCTTTCCTGAGCTACAGTTCTGGCGGCCAATCACCGGGGAGGAGGCGGAGCCGAGCAGCCGCACGAATATCCAGTGGCCGAACTGAAGGAAGGAGCAGCTGCGCTTCCTGGACCGGATCGTCGTGGGACCGGAGCCAGGTAAGAAACAGAAGCCCCTGCCCACCCCTGTACTTAGTTTCACTTCTGTCGGAAGGGGGGGTGGCGGCGGCACCGCACCGCCCCCCTAAAAAGTGTCAGCATGCCGTATACCGGCGTATAAGACGACCCCCGACTTTTGAGAAGATTTTCAAGGGTCAAAAAGTCGTCTTATACGCCGGAAAATACGGTAGTTAACATCTAGGGTGATCAAAGGGTTAAGTGTATGCCTAGCTATGTTCTTGATGTATACTAGGTGGTGCTGGTCCAGGAGGAAGTGATGGATCGTGTTCCCAGCTCTGTAAACATAGACACATCTCTGTTCTTCCTCACTGGTTGACGATTTGTGGATACCAGCAAAGATCCATTCGCTGAGACTCACAGATCGGCTTCTGCTGTGATAGTTCACAGCAGTAGCTATTTGCTGGCAGTGTGCATGCCACAGTGAGGTGGAAATGCAGAATCACATATATATACGTGATTTTGCCGAGGAGAGCCGCCCTGTAGTAGTAAAACTGCTATAGGGTGGATGTAAAGTGGATAATGATGACTTTTATGTTGCACTTAAATAATCCCTGTAGAAAATGGCCACACACTGTTTGAATCAAGCAGTCCTTGCATAGGTTTAGCAAAGACCTTCCCACCCCACATCTCATGATTGATTTTCACTTGCGGAAAGGCTAAACTACATTTACAGAGATCTCTCCCTTGATGACTTTCTTGCTCTTTTCCAGTCCTGGTCTGTAGATGTGCTCCCTACTGTGTTGCTATATATACACAACGTTGTAGGCATACCACGGACCAGACATCACATAATCCATTTCTAACCAATAGATCCCATTTGCTCAGTTCTTTAAGACCTTGTTCACACGGACACAGACGGGAGCTCAAATGCCCCCAAGCTCTGGTCATTAAACAGTTATGGAGTTAAATGGCTCAAGCAGCTCAAGAAAGATATCACTTTGCTTTGCGCTACAGCGGGATCAAATAAATGGCACAACCTGAAATTGCATGGTAACTAAAGACCATATAACAACCTTTTGAAGCCACTAAAGAATCAAATTAGCTCAGCTTGAAGTAGTTAGTCACATTTAACTGTACTTATTCTGTAATGTAAAAGAATTTGCATCAGTCTTCCAATAGGCTTTCACAGGTCACAAACCTTTTTTAAACAAATAAAGCCACTTAGACCTACCTAAGAAGTCTAGTTGAATGAGACTGACTACCAAAAACTATGCTATAATCTGGATGAAGAAAACCTTGTTAGAAACGCTGATTAGCATTCTTGTTCCTATGAAAAAAACAAATTGCAGTCAATCAAAAGCTCTGTGTAACAGAATTCCAGCGAATTGTAGTGATTGACTTTTTTGCAACATTCAAAATTATCTACAGAATCACCAATATCATTAGGTACCCACATTATCCATTAAAGCTGCTGAGGATCGTAATACTTCGGAAATTTGGAGCTCCATAAACAAGCATGGTATCCATCTACAGCAGCAACTCTTTTTCTAGGTAAAAATTGACAGAAAATTCATCTCTGCTACAAAGTTACTGGTGTGACATGTCCCTAACATTGCTCAGAGATGGTCTGAAAGTCCCAATGACACGTGATGTCTTTTAGCATTTAGCACCATCTGTCTGAGGGCTGCCAGTGACAATTGCTTCCTTGTAACTTTCAGTAAAGTTTCTCCTGCAATGTACTATATTAATTCAGTATACAGTGTGTGTTTACTGGCAGTTATTAGTTTTTACATTATACCATATGTGACATTCTTCTCTAAGGTATACTACATTTCAACCTTTGTTGCTATTGACAGAATTTTACTGATTTTTGTCATCATTTTCTGGAGTCATTCATGTGTCACTCTTGAAGAACTAACACATTTTATTATATTTATTCTTACAGCTTTCTCCATTTCCAGTGAAAACAGTCAGGTTGTGATGATTGGCATCTCAGCTGCAATAGTAATTATCCTGCTCACAGTGGTGGTGTATGTGCTCATTGGAAGGTTAGTTGTCTAATTTTTCTGCTTCTATATTATACACTGGATGTACAGGATATACATTTGTTCCTGATTGTCCACAAAAATACATAGATATTTGCACAGTTAATTATTGGAGCTGTTAAAGTGTATGTGTATCTAAACTCAAAACTTTTTTTTTAGTTTGGGGTATAATAGGAAAGGGTTGACTTTGTGTTGCTGTATGGGGTGCTTGAAAGAAGAGTTCCCAATACTTCTGTTGAGATTGTTGTTATTGTCTGTTTCCATGTTGAGAAGATTTACGCTCTCTACTTCTACCTGTTCTGGTGACCATTGTCGCCAGAAGTGAAAGTAAAAGAAAATCCAAAATTTGGAGTTGTCACCAGAACAGGAATTTTCCAGTGTGGACATTTGTGAAGACATCTGTCTAAAGCTCACCACACATGTTACAATCATAATGCGTAATCTCCATTCCTCCATTGTTAGATTTAAATTTCATTTTACACCAACATTAAAGAAAAGAAAGAAGGTGCCACCATCTAAGTGAGGTATTTGTTAGCATTACACATTAAATAAACATGTATGCACTCGCTGCCTTAGATCAAGGTTAGGTATATTGGTCATATTATCCATGCAGAGTTCATCCAAGAAGTAAACAGAAATAATAGAGTTTGGCAGGGACAATGTTGGTGTATTCAGAGCTGCTCTTTATGAATGCTAATAAATGGCTACACTTAGATGGTGGTGCCCTGTTCCTCTTGTTTATGACTTGTGCACTAGAGTTGGCTCAAAACCTAAATGTTGAGAAGCTGCAACCATCGTCAAGTGGCTTCCACTTCCATAGTTTTAGGTAATTTCTATCTCCCATGACATTATTATACTCAATTTTGCGCCAAACTAAATATCTTATTTCATTTTACACATTTTTTATATATGAGGCAGGAGAGAAAGGGAAAACTCCCCAGTAGGACATAGACTGCATTAATAGGAAAAAGGAAAGAAAGACAAAAAAAAGCCTGGGGTTTAAACCTTTATATATGCATCCAACACTATAGAAATATATTTTGGCTATTGATACACTCCATTTATATCTTTATATGTTCAGTATATATTGTTAAAGTGTATGTAAAGTCAACGCGTGTTTGTTATTTGTTGTTACAAAGAGTAGAGAAGGGCTAACACTCCTATTTGTTTGTTTTTTTGCTTGTGTCCTGCTGGGGATATATTTTCCTTTACTTTCTGTCCTGGGAAACCCCAAAAAATGAGAAGAAAATGCTCTAAAGTGAAAAGAATTCCTGGCTTAGTGGGTTTTCATAGGAATAGGTGTCCCCTGCTGGAATATTTACCCTTACCTCTTGCTCTCGTGACAGCTCAAAATTAGAGATGAGCGAATCGAACTTGGCGAAGTGGAATTCGTTTAGAATATTAGGAAAAATTCGATTGGCACCGAATCCAAAAATTAGCAAACTTCGGATGCACGAATCGAATTTTTCCCGATCGGCCGATTTTCATCCCTTCTACAGCCGGCAAAAAGTGTCCCTGCAGAGAGCTCCGCTATTTCTGACAGTTCTCTGACAGTTCCTTCACATTTACAGCGGTTGAAACATTGTATCTATTTGTTTCCATTTAGGATACAGATGTTTTTATTCGGAAACAAATAGATACAATGTTTCAACCGCTGTAAATGTGAAGGAACTGTCAGAGAACTGTCAGAAATAGCGGAGCTCTCTGCAGATACACTTTTTGCTGTACTGGAATTCTTCTTATTTTCATCCTACTTCTTCTTCTTCTTCTACTTCTTCTTCTTCATCCTCATCCTCATCCTCTTCTTCTTCTTCTTCTTCATCCTCATCCTCTTCTTCTTCTTCTTCATCCTCATCCTCTTCCTCTTCTTCTTCTTCTTCTTCATCCTCATCCTCTTCTTCATCCTCATTCTCTTCTTCTTCTTCTTCTTCTTCCTCATCCTCATCTTCTTCTTCTTCATCCTCATCTTCTTCTTCTTCTTCTTCTTCTTCTTCTTCTTCTTCATCCTCATCTTCTTCTTCTTCTTCATCCTCATCTTCTTCTTCTTCTTCTTCTTCTTCATCTTCATCATCTTCTTCTTCATCATCTTCTTCATCATCATCTTCTTCATCATCTTCTTCTTCATCCTCATCTTCTTCTTCTTCTTCTTCTTCATCCTCATCCTCTTCTTCTTCATCTTCATCTTCTTCTTCTTCCTCTTCTTCTTCTTCTTCTTCTTCTTCTTCTTCTTCTTCCTCATCCTCTTCTTCTTCTTCCTCATCTTCTTCTTCTTCTTCTTCTTCTTCTTCATCTTCTTCTTCTTCATCCTCATCTTCTTCTTCTTCTTCTTCATCCTCATCTTCTTCTTCTTCTTCATCCTCATCTTCTTCTTCTTCATCCTCATCCTCTTCTTCTTCTTCCTCATCCTCATCTTCTTCTTCTTCTTCTTCATCTTCTTCATCTTCTTCTTCATCATCTTCTTCTTCATCATCTTCTTCATCATCATCTTCTTCATCATCTTCTTCTTCATCTTCTTCTTCTTCATCTTCTTCTTCTTCTTCATCTTCTTCATCTTCTTCTTCATCTTCTTCTTCTTCATCTTCTTCTTCTTCTTCATCTTCTTCTTCATCTTCTTCGTCGTGCCCCGTGACTGCCCAAATGAGTGAAGTGTGCGGTGATTCTAAGATCGACGGCACTCATCTGCATGTCATACTGACTGACAGTATTATTTCTCTTCCCCAGCAGACTCCAAGGGCATTTAAATTAAAGGTACAGTGTTCTGCACTAATATAAAGGCTCTCTGAAGCCTAGAAACCCTTTTAATAAGTTAAATTCGCAGCGAATAAATTCGCATCGAATCGAATTTATTCCGCAAATTCGGCGAATCGGCCGAATCGAATTTTTGAATAATTCGCTCATCTCTACTCAAAATGTTTGGATTTTATATCATTTTCTGTCTTAGTGACATTTGCCTTCATTATAAATAATGAGAGTGACTCTCCTAGTGGGTACACAGAAAGCAAAAACACTTGCCAAAAAGGGTTTAACCCTTTCCTACTGTAGTCAAAATTTGAAAATATGCTTTAACATGCACCCTAATAATCAAACGCACATTTCTGTTAGAGGTGGGATATTTTTTAAACTTACAAGAGGTGCTAACATCAAGGTTTGAAGGTAAAATATACATCTATAGGTTTTTTTTTATATTTGTAGCTCTAAATTACTAAACATACATTACAAACTGGCTCATGTAGCGGAGACTTTAATTACATTTATGGATGGATATGTAAATGTTTCAAGCGATAATTATAACAACAGGTGTTTAAAATGAGAAAATAGTAGGTTTCAACTCACATCTGACTTTCTATCTTGTTATGTTATAGAAGAAAATGGTAATTTACACTTGAGTTCCTTCATTTACCTAAAATGGAAACAAACAGAGAGAAATAGAATATCAGTTAAATAGACTTAACACAGCTCTGCCAATTGCTTAAAAAAATGTAAAAATCAATATGAAAGTCTCCTGCAGTAGAAATGCTCTTATACTTATGTTTCTGGTGGCCCGTGTCTCCTACATCTCCTCTGTTCCAGCACTGCACACTTTAAAAAACGCCATATGCTTTGTTTCCATTTTCTGACCCTACATTACTGCTGAGGAGAGTGTGGGAACACCGGCATCTAACACTCTCTGGAGTGTCCAGTGCCGAACAGACTGGCAGAGACTGCAGCATAGGAAAGGTAGGAGACCCACTGGGTAGGTGAGTATAACAGCTATTCTTTTGCACGCAAATATCATCTTTGCCTTCACTGAGGGGCCCAGTAGCACAATAGGCATCTTGCAACAAGATTGGAGGAAAAGATGGCAACATTGTCCATAGCAACTAACAAATCTATACAGGCTACCATAACATACATGAAGTAAAGTGTAGGAGACATGTGGATTGCTTTCTTATTTTGGTAGGAAAGTCTTTTCATACATGCGTTCCAATATGATAAGGGGCAAGTAAACTTTCCTAAATCAGGATCAGAGATGGGACCTCAGGAACTGGTAGTGCCTTCTGTGTACCCCCATTGTCATAACCCTAAAAATAAATGTAAAGCATATCTTAGGCCTGGTTCATACCAATGTGGTATGCGTTTTGTCCATTTTGCAGTGCTTTTTTTATTTTCACAAGCGTTTTTAATGCATTTTTTGGGGGACCAGCTTGTTGCTGGGCAGATTAAAAATGCAAGATGCACAAAACGCATAAACATAGCATCACAAATGCACTACATGCATTTTCTACAGCATCTCAGTTGAAGTCTATTGAACCAAAAATGCAACGTTTTGCATTTAAAAAAGTCTGTGGCCTTTTCCAAAAATGTAGTGGCTCAAAAAAGCATAGATGTGAACAAGTCCCATAGGAAACCATGTTAAACATGACCCATAGGAAACCATGTTAAACATGTCCCATAGGAAACCATGTTAAATGGACTGTAGTGTATTTCTGCAAAAAGCACCAAAAAACGCATTGGTGTGAACCAGGCCTAAAGCCAAACTCAAATCTCGTTTTGCATATAGTTGGGAATGCACTTTGTCTTTTTTCAATTGGGGGGATTTCCTTTTATCTCCTGTTCCTGAGATGAAATAGTGAGGGCGAGGAAATCTTTATAAATAAATGGAAAACCCCTCTTAGACAGTTGTCACCTGAACAGGTGTTTCCATTGGAAGATTGCGTTCTTCTTGCCTCCTATTGACAAGTATAAATGACAAGTATAACATTTTGGATTTCCTATCACCTTCAGTCTTTGTGATAATGGTCACCATGACAAATAAAGAATGTGAAACTTCATAGTGGGAACACGAAGAGCAATAAAATCCTTGAGGGTGTACAATGATGGTACTGTATAACTAAAAGTTTTCATATTACTAATATTGTGTGGATCTACCAAGCTTATGTGCACAAAGAAAGGACTTCTACAAATGGTCTAATAACTGGCATCTGTCAGATGGTCATGCTGGAAAACCAGCATTTGCAGCTAATAGTTTCAGTGATGACCTGTGTATTCTAACAGGTGTGGGGGGGCTAGTTCCTCCTATCAGAATACAACAGAGTGGCAGGGAGGATCCCTGCATCCACATCACTTGTGTGGATGTGGGGATCTGTCAGGTTTTTTTTGGTGCAACCCACTAAAAAAAAACACCTGTGCACGTATACCTGTTCAATTGCAGAAGGGAGATCCAGATACAAGTTTAATCCAATGTAAAATCAGACTAATCCAACAAGTTGCTGACAAACTAAAGTATTTAAATCAAAGTATCTCTTCATTATCAAATCTGCTGGCATTGTTTCTTATCTCTCAAGTCATAATGAAGGGGAGGGCTCTATCCCCTGAAACGCGTTGGCCTTGTTTACAATCTTCCTTCAGATTTTACTTTGGAATAAACTTGCATCTGGACTTTTTAAAATCACAGTGTGGCTCTTCAATTCCATATTTACTCAGCAATAAAAACCTGATGGGTTGAAAGTCTTTGGTTGAAAGTCTTTTCTACACTACAGTACACAAAAAAAAAAAAACATTTGGCATTAGATATACTTTTATAAGTATAGTATTAATATACTAAGTATTAATATACTAAACAAGTTAGCAGTTTAGGCGCACTAAACATCTACACATAGAATAGAAAGGTGAAGCATAATTGTATTTATTGAGTTTTATGTAATTGTACTCCATAAATGGTATATATGTACAGTATATAGCCCATGTGCTAGGCGCACTGTACATTCAACAAGAAAACAAAATACAAAAAAAAGAGGCTTGTTGATTTGGTTTATTTCATAGGTTATTGCAGGAATTTTCTAGCTGTTAACATAATCATTCATGTTTTCTTTTTGTACATTGTCAACTGTTTGCTGTTTTCTGTAGCTATATTTCACACCTTATTAAATCAGATTGCCTGAGATTTGACCTGTGTACGCCTGATTAAGTTTACTATCTCATGCACTGTGTTATTTCTATTAAAGCCAGGTGTGACATCTTAGGCACTTAGGAGAAGCCTGGGTTGTGCGCTCTGATTATGTGTAAACTACGCTATGCAAGTGGCTTTTCAAGAACTGCAGGATTAGATTTCATAACCACATGGACCTCAGGCTTCCCTTGTGTTTCTATTAAATCGTCCAAAATCTCATTCTTCAAATTTGTCGAGCTCAATGCACACGTGTTTTCCTGCGGATTAATGCAACGTTTTAGATGTTAAGGTCCATTACTCTTTGATCCCTCGGTTTCAGCTATCGCGGATTGACTTGTTATTTTGGGTTTTGTGTTGCTTGGGATAAATTTTCGACTGTTGATTTTTTTTCCGTTTCCTTGAGAGCCAATCCCATAGGATTGGATGTTCCATGGACACATATAGCTGGGAAAGAGATGTGAGGTCATATCTTATTATGCCTGCAGCTTCCTGGATGGATAATGGCTGATTCGTTCACACAGTCACTTTTTAAAATCATATTCAGAGCAAATATTAAACGGGTTTAATCATGTTAGTTCCTCAGAGAGTCAATAAATAAGCACTTTTATAAGGGAATCAAGATTTACACAGCTGGAAGCGTTAAACAATGTAACATCATTAGAGCAAGCCTCACTCCACCAAGTGCCTGACCCAGTGCATGAACCCAACTTGCCTGATTATTGAGCAGTAACCTCACCAAACTGTCCAGGGATTAATAAACCTCCGCTGAGACCTTTACAAAATCTGATTAATGATTCAGTGCACCTGTAGACATAGGACTATCTTACTAGTTGAACCTAGCTTTACCTTCTTTCCAATACCAAGGGCCTTATTTTGCTGACTCTAAAGCAATTATTAACCTCAGATAAAATATTACTCAATGGCCTAGTCCACGTTTAAGTGATATTTCACGTTAGGATCAAGTTTACCTTGCGTAAACAACCACCTGCATCTTATATGTCTCAAAAACTCTGGCAACATTATCTTTGCAGCTGCTTTTAGATCTGCTTACCTATTTTGACCGTTCAAAAAGGGTCATGCAGGATCGGCAGAAAACATTTGATTACATTACTGTTTTTTGTAAACGCAGGACTGGGTGGCAGAACCAAAAACTCAAATAAGGAAGTTTCCCCATTGCAGTCATCCACTGGGTGATTCAGTCATCCAGTTTCCATTACAAGTGGGTTTATTATTTAGTAAAGCTCTAGAGAATGCATTGACCATATGCAATAACCCAATGCAAGCAGATATGTTTTTCTAATTATAATAAACTCAGCCTAGGAGCACTGCAATTTGCACTTTTATATTAATGAAGGAGATACACAGGTGGTAGAAACAAAGCATCAGCACCTGATATTGATGTTATAAAGTTAATAGTGGGGACTTTGCTGGTTGCAGAACACAAGTTGCCCTTTACATCTTTCATATCTTCTGCTTTGACTACCTGTGTCTGCCTCCCTAGCGATATCTACTTTCTTTCTCTATTTTGATGCTATGAGCATCTCTGAATAATATGAACCACATCCGCCATGTCATTCTTTCTCAACTTCAAAAGTGCTTTTCTTTTTCCACCTAAACTGCATGGAAATACAAAGCCTTGGTCCACACGCTGGGTATAACAACTATATCACAAAAGGGAAAGCACAGACTTCATACACAGTTTGCACCTGTCAGCCACTACTGACGCATTTCACCCACATTGGTCTTAATCACCATGTATGGAAAGTTATGTACAATTGTCTTCAGTGGCATACTCCTCTCCATTGAGTATGCTTGCAGTATGTTTTAAAAAAATCTGCTTATCTATGATTTCCAGCAAGTGTACCTCTTTAAAGGGTTGTGTGGTGTTCAGATAAGAAACACTATGTCAACATTATATACATGTGTTAAAGTGACTCTGTTGATTTCAATTAACAATCTTAACAATTGTTCCCTGCCATAGAAGACTGTGAACAATCCTGTCTTGCAGCTCTGCAGCCATAGTCTTTAACCTCTTGCCGACCATGTAAAATATGCTTTCCATATGAGCCAATGGCAGCTGAGGTTTTGTGCTTTGATCATGTAACCACATGAGAGCCAATCACAGTAGTCATGCCACACAGTTAAAGGGTCACTAGGAGGGAGTGGGAAGGATTTAAAGCTGACCTCTGGGCACTAAAACGTGCATTTAAATATATTCCTCAAAAACCACAAAGGAAATAAATCCAATGTTGTCTTTGCAAACCAAAATATTAAAAAAGTAGCAGTGGCATCATCACTGTGCTACACATAGCCTGTGCAGAAATCAGAGCTGTGGAAGGAACCCTACAGTTTCACCCACTACAGGCTGCCTGCAGAGAAATACAGGAAGGGGCGGATACAAGACCAGTCACCCTGCACAAGGAGAAAGAGAAGGAGTGATAGGTCTTGATTACAGGAAGCTCTGCATAAAGGCAAAGTTTCACACTGGATTACTTCACAGATATGGAAGTAGTACACATAGGAAACCAAATTCAAGTAAGAACACATACTGTATGAAACGTGTATTTAGATGATATTTGCTGCTTATCCCAGAGTTCAGCTCTAACATTCAGCTCCTCCATAAGTGTCATATGCACTTGTCCCTAGCTGGTTATGAAGTAACCAAGCGGTTTGCAGCCTTCTGTCTATATCTCAGGATTTATAGCAGAAAGCTGCACGAGGTCAGGGATATTGAAGCTATATGCTTGGAAACTGCTACAATTATTTTTTTCAGCATTGCCAAACACAACATCAATCTAGTACTGCAATGTAATGTTAAAGTGAACTTCGGGCAAAACATTATTTTTGAGTTGTAGCATGGTGAAAGGTTAGATCCTATATAAGGTGTCTATTCCTGGCTGCACCTCCGCTGAAAAAATTCACCCTCAGTTTCACTATTCAGAGTTGTCACGGGAAAAGGAGATGAGGGGAATATCCCAATGTCCCTCTTTTTCTCACTTTGGAAAGACTGTGACAGAATATGAAAATTGTCTCTTGTGCACACACAGACAGCAATAAACAGTGACTGAATAAACTTGACATTTATGATACCCCTGAAAGAAAAAGTTTTTCCTGGAGTTATTGTGGATACTAATTTCATGCAGTCGCTATTTGGACAACAATTTTCCGAAAAAGCTCCCTTCAATAAAAGTCGATCGAACAATAAAGCAGTGCCAGCAGGGCCGTACACAGCTCAAATTTCTGCTGAGTGTGTAGAAAGCAATTAAGTGGTGTATGGCCAGCTTCTGTCAAGTTGGACATCCAGTTGATACATTTATGCCTAAGGCAACCCATAGATGAATCAGTTTTTTTGTTCAAGCAGAGAGTTGAACGAAAAAAAAAAAAAAAGTATTCCATTCCCCCATCCACATACTCGATGTGGAGAGGGAAACACTCATCCCAGAGCTATTGTATTCTGACAGCTAGGAGACTTACCCGCTATCACAATACACTGATCAGCGCTGCTAGCTATAGCTGGTGGTGCCCATCAAGCGGAAAAAAATCTACAGGGCAGTTTTATAGAAATCAATTGGTGGATCGACTTCTGTACAACCAACTTGCCCAATTTATGGATCAAAATTCAGCCAGTCCCTGCTGAGCCAACCAAATTTCAATCTATGTATAGCCAACTTAACTATATTTCAGACACTTTGATAAATTATGTCAAGTGACTGAAGTGTGCATAAAATTATCAAGTCCTTAGTTATCCTCTTTGGCCATTTGGTGAACTGTCCAGATTTTACGTACAACAGTCAGGGCCATAACAATGCACTTGCTGTCTTATCATAACGTCAACATGTTTTTCTGTATCATTGAGGAAATGATTTCTTGTGTTTGCTCTTGTAGGTTCTGTGGATACAATAAATCTGTGCACAGCCCTGATGAAAAAAGACTCCACTTTGGAAATGGTCACTGTAAGTGTTGTGATTTATAAGGTCCATTTAACACCGATCATGTGGGAAGAGTGCATTCTTATTTGTATTGCCTTAACTTAAGCTCTTCACTGAATCACAGAGACGGATGTGAACAAATGAAACATGGTACATTTACACATATGTGACACCTATCGGTTATTTTACTTATTGCAATACTGTAAGGAGAATAATGAGGTGACATTCTGTATATTTCATAAGACGTGCTTCTCCAAGTTTTAATCAGAAAGTGTCCAGATCATTTTCTACTTTGTTGTCTGCTGGAAAAGAAAATTGCATTTATCTTAAAGGGAAATGATTGGGTACTTTTAGTGTGTATAAATGTTCTTTTTTTAATGTTATTATTATTATTTACCTTAAAGTGTTTTTCCACTTTTGCAGCCAAATTGGAATAACACCCACTTTATATTTGTTACATGTTCCTGTTCTCATAACATATTGTACAAAACACATTGAGAAATTTCTGCGTAGTTTTACTTGCACTATGCTTGTTTATAGATTGTACCCAACTTTCCCCTTCTATGATTATATTATTATAATACAGGATTTATATAGCTCCAACAGTGTTTTTAAACATGAGGGAGGGCAGTACAGTTACAATACAATTCAATACAGGAAGAATCAGAGGCCCCTGCTTGTTAGAGCTTACAATTTAAAAGGGAGGGTCAAGAGATACTAAAGGTAATAACTGTTGGGGATGAGCTGATGGTAAAAGTGAAAGTGCAGTTGTTAGGTGGAGGCAGGCTTTCTGTACTGTTAACCACTTGCACTGCTCCTTTAGAGGGTCCTAATACTAGGAGGCGGAGGCGGACTTTCTGATCATGTGAGCACTGTGATTGACTGTCACAGTGGTCATATAATTGGAAGCTCTCGACTGTAAGCCCTGGTTCACACTGATGCGATGCAGAATTCGCAGCGTTTTCTGTGCAAATTCCGTACCACATTAGAGTCGCACCCCGTTCATGTGAACCACTGCAGGTATGTATGTTAAGTTAACAACACCCCGAAAGCGGTCCGCAAAATGCATTGCGATCTGCAGAATCGGATAGCATAGGTGTGAATACCCAAATGCGATCCGGTTCTAGTGCGGACCCAAAAAAGAGTCCTGCACCTTTTTGGTGCGGTGCGATTAGAGCCATACAAAATGTATGACTCCAATTGCACCGCACACAAATCGCATGTAATTTGCACAGGAATGAGGTGCGGTTCCTGTGCAATTCACATGCAATATAACGCACTGTATATATGTGAACCCAGGCTAAAGAAGAATAACCAGGAGTTGTCCATGACAGCTAGATCACTGTTCTGGGACTGCGCAAAAAAAAGAAGTTCCCCATAGGTGCATATATACAGCAACCTGGCTTCAATGTCCACTTACCCTGACACTGCATACATGCATACAGCTGGTGGGAAATGGTTAAGGAGAGGGCTGGTCAGGTATATTTACCATAAATTACCCTGCCTGTATCGTGCTGGTAGATCTCATTATCAGTTGTAGGACATAAACACTGAATGATAGATAATGATCACCTGTGCTTAGGACACACCAATCAATAGTGCACACTCAATATTAAACAAAAACTGGGCTGCTGCTCCTATAAAAAGTACAACCTTATCAACATAATACACAAAATAGCAGGAGCACTGCCTCAATGTATGTTATATGACATGAAAAGCATGCTTAAATAATAAACACATAACAATAAATTGTGAAATAATGTCCTAAATGTGAACAAAAATCCCTTTCACATCCAGAAGGTGATAAGTTCTCTGTGTTCCCCGCCTTTTTGCCCCCTCACTCACCAACTTTAATGGACTCTTATGGTGAAATAAGAGTCTCACGCTTTTGGAGGGGCATAGGAAGTCAGCTGGAGCTTTTAGTCCTCCTGATTAAATGTTGCTTGACATTCCCAGTGATTCAAATGTAGGAAATCATGCTGGAGCTTGTAGTCCTCCTGATTAAATGTTGCTTGACATTCCCAGTGATTCAAATGTAGGAAGTCAGCTGGAGCTTGTAGTCCTCTTGATTAAATGTTGCTTGACATTCCCAGTGATTCAAATGTAGGAAATCATGCTGCAGCTTGTAGTCTTCCTGATTAAAATGTTGCTTATCATTCCCAGTAATTCAGATTTAGAACTGATAGATATATACATGTAAGGAATAGAGAGAGGCATCCAAAATAGTGTAATTCCGTTTATTAGTAAAAGCAGACACACTGGTATTGCACTCACGTGTTTCCAGATACAATAGGCATGAATCTCCAAGTGTACAATAGTAGGTCGCTAGTGTTCCACAAACCTCGTAGACTTAATATCACCACGTCCGTTCTTGATGCATTTCGCCCCTCCCACTGGGCATCCTCCGATCATTGAGCGCTATCTTTCCATACTTCTGAGTGATGACATATTTGCAAAAATATTGTCCCATGGTACTAAAATTGTTTCCCGACATGCACCAACTTTGGACAATACTCTGTCCTCTAACTATTTCTCCTCTAGAACAACTTGGAGAACATGGCTGTTTTAAGGGTAACTATAGCTGTGGTATAGACGGCTGTCCCTGTTGCTCTTGTTTTAAGAAAGGGGAGGAATTTAGATCCACGGTTAGTGGCAAGGATTACAGGATCAAGAACTTCAACAACTGTAAGGTTCCATGCACACTGGGCATTTTAATAGTGCTGGCAACATTAGTTGTGTAAAGTCACGTTAAAAACGTGAGTTTTTTAGCATTTTTGTATTAGCGTTTTGCCGCTTTTTTTGTGTTTGCTTTTGGTAAAAAAAAATCCAAAAATGCTGGTTTTTCATGATTTACTGCGATTTACCGCGTTTTTCAGCATTAGAGCATTTTTACAGCTAAAAAACTCCTCTAGAAACCCACTAGTCCTGAGTTTTTTTTTTCCAGCCAAAAAAATGCCCCTGCCAAAAAACGTTGATTACAGTCTATGTGTGGATGGACACATAGGATAACATGCTGGGGAGTTTATTGGCTGTAGAAAAAAACATCAAAAGCTAACAACAGCAGCTGTAAAAATGCGCACAGTGCATGAGGACTTATACTAAGCATCTAATATATTCGATCACCTGTAGAAGTTGCCAAGTACAATATGTTGGTAGGACGGCTAGGAGGCTACAAGATCGCCTCCATGATCATGTTTATGAAATACAAAAGAATCATTCTACCAATGTCACTAATCATTTTAACAGTGCTCATGGAGGTGACCTTAGTGCTTTGAGCATACAGGGCATTGAGAGGGTGGACAGGTCTCCTAGGGGTGGAGATGGCTTTAGATTGCTGTGCAAACGTGAAGTCTTTTGGATTGTTTTATTTGCGTACACGCATTCCTATTGGTTTGATTTTTTAATGGGATCTTACCCATATTTATGAGTGACTTCCTTGCCCAGCCATGGCCCCTTCCCTCACTGATGTGATTATGTTTTACCAGCTTTTTGAATATATGTGTTTATTTGACTACATGCGTTTATTTGGTGCTGATCCTTTTTGATTATTCTCTGTGTCTCTGCCTGTTCCATCACCTTATTAGTCTTTTTGGTCTTTGTTATATCTGGAATGGTGAGGATAGGACAGATACTTTGTCATTGATCTGAGACATATTTATTTTTATAATTTGTATATCTTCTTATTTGGAATGGATCCAATATACATACATTTATACATGATGTGGTGTTTTCTTCATGGTTATTTTTTGTTTCTTCTTCCCGTACATTCTTTACAGCTTTATTTTCATTTTTTTCCCTCTCCATTGTGCGACACGGGAATTCTTGCACATATCCTGTGGTAGGTGCATCGGATTTTATGCGTTGCACTTTGGAGATGTTAAAATTATTAGTCACAGTACTGTCTTTACCTTTAAATCGGTTTGGTGTAGCAGGAGGTGGACCCAGTGTTGATTAGGAGGAACAGCTGTTGCTGGTGCTTAAAACCAACACTTTGTACATGGGTCCACTGGGTAATGAATAAGCGCTGTCTTTAGTGTGAAACGTGTTTATCTGCCAGTCCCCCACTGTATTTCCACTGTCTGTATTGGTTTTATCTTGGTTCAATAAAGTGGATTGTTTGGAGTTCGTCCTTTGTTCTAATCTATGGCACATATACGGTGGGATTGACCCAAAATACATATGTTTTGGCAGGATATCATACAAGTTATACAGGAAATTTTGGGGATCACTATGCAGAAAGATCCATGGGGAAATCTGTTCTATGGATCAGAAATACCAGTGAAACAATGAAAAAAAATATAATATATCATTTAATTAGTGCTGCAAAGGGACTTAGCCCCAAATACGGGCAGGTACAGGATCCCCCAACATTGAGGGACTGGATTGATAGAGTTGACTATATAAATAAGATGGAAGAGCTATACCACATAGATGAAGATAAAATGGAAAAGTTTAGAAAGGAATGGGTTAGTTGGTATGAGTTTAAGACATCTAAATATATCTGGACATGGTGGGAACCTCAGTTGGATTGATGTAGGAGAATTGAACTGAAGACTTAGGCTACGTTCACACTAGCGTTGTGTGCAGGCGGCAGAAAGGCATTTGGGAAGTGTTTTTACTGCTTCCCAAACGCCTCTGCCAATTCTGTACATTACAGCACATGGTGCTGTTCTAACAGAAGCGTTTGCATTGCATCGCGTTGCGGCAAAACGGACGCCTCTGGTCGAGTCAGGAGGCGTTGAAGCCTCCTATTCTAGTCTATGGTGCCGCTCCGAAAACGCCCTGCCGGCGTTTGCGGTGCGGTTGGGGAGCGTTCGCGGAGCAGTAACACCATTCAAACTGCATTATGGGCATTTGTGGGGCATTTTTAACGCTCAGTAAATGCCTAGCAACCACTACTAAACTGCGCATGCGGCGTTTGCGGAGCATTTGCCGAGCAGTAAAAAACGCTCCGCAAACGCCGGACCAACGCTTGCCAAACGCTATAGGGGCGTTTGGCAAGCGTTGGTAAAACAGCCAAGTGTGAACGAGCCCTTAGAAAATT